AATCCATCCAAGGAAAAATCGAATCACCAAATACACTGGAAAAATTAAAAGTTACCTAGACAGTAGACGCATTTTCTACCTGGGCAAGCAAGCTACACTGCTGCTGTCCAAGGGCCGAGACTCCTTCTCCCTCTTCCCTTGGCTGGAATCAAAAGTAAACATATCAGAACCACTCCAAAGAAAGGCGCCATCCAGAATCAAAACAAATTCAAAACCCAAACAGAAGAAGCTTAACCCAAACAGAAGAAGCTTACCTAGAGAGCAACGGCCAGCCCTCGTTGCTACTTTGCAGGCTTCGGAAATCTACACCGGCAACAACTCTTACATTATCCTTCCTATTGCCCTCACCCGAAAACCCAAAAAGAAAAGGTCTGGTCAGATTAGCAGAGCTCAAAATAAAAATTCCAAACACACCAAAACCGAAAAAGGAAATACATACATTAAAAAACTGACCTTTGTCGACGTTGATAACTGTTCATCTGCGGCCGGGCAAGTTCCTCTATTGTGACAACAGCCGACGTCAGCGGACGAATCAACGTACGTTTTCGTGATAGCAAAACCAAGAAGTAAAAGATAAGTAACCAGAATTCAAGGCAAAAAAAAAAATCCCCAGAAATAAAATATTCAAAACGGAAAGCAGCTCACTCATAACTGGGATCATCACCGACATCCATGACCGACCTTCCCATCGCACCGGGGTCGTCCACAACTTCCCTTCTCTTAATGGTTCGAGTAGGAAAAACAGAGGAAGGAAATTCTACCCAAGGAAGAGAACAAAGAAACTCAGAAAAATTAACGGAGAGAGAAAGCAGATGGAGAGAAATGAGATCGCCGTCGAAAAACTGAGAGCAAAGAAAACTCACGATCTAGACCACCAGCCGTCGAACAACCCTCCTTCCTTGGCAAGCTTGGCGGATTGCCCGCTGCATCGCCGATTTCGGAGATTTGCAATCACAGAGAGAGACAGGGACAACGGCGGAGCTGGATCAAGGAGAGCGCATGTGGATGGGGAGAGCAAGGGAGCCAAGGAGAGCACAGGTGGGCGGGGTTTTCATTCCTCCCTTTCCCCTCCTGGTTTTCTTCTTCCTATCTTCTGTTCTTCTTTCACTTTTCTGGTTTTTTTGTGTGTGGTAGCACTATTCTGCTCCCATTGAGAGAGAGGGAGGGATGAAGATTGATTGATGTGTGGGAGGAAGGGTTTACGGGAAAGAGTGAATTTGAGTGGATGGGAATAAAGCAAGAGAGAGGAATGGAAAGAATAAAGAAAAGAAGAATATAATTACACTATTGGTCCTAAATTGTGGGAAATAACCAAAAGGTCACCCTTTGGATGGGACACTAAGAAGAGGCTTCTTTCCTCTTCCTTCCTCTTCCTTCTAACGTAATACGAGAGGCTTCTTTCTGTCCATTTTCTTCTTTCTCAGCAGAGAGAGAGAGGAGAGTGGGTGCTTGGGAAAGGGTATGCGAGAGAGAGGGGAAGGATAAGGAAATGTGGGATAGTAAAGCAACAAAGAAAGAGTAGGGGAAGAAAAGGCTTGGTTGTCAGAGGGAAGTGACTCAAGCATGCCAAAGATCTTGAAGAGTGCACCAATGGAAGTGACTTTACCCAACTCCAAAACGTAGAAAAGCCAATTGAGAAATGATGAGAACAAGTAAAAAGCAAAAAGTAACAGTGGCGGGATGTGACTCTACCAAACAGTAAACTTGTAACTTGTTCTTTTAAAGAGATAATATCTTAAGGCAGGAAGATCCTCTGGCCCCCACTAGATTATCTCTTGATTTCAGCGCAGAAGAAGAACTGAAGTCAGTGTTTTATTTATCTGGAAGCCATCCCTCCTTGTTTTTACAGATTACATTTCCCACTTCACAGGCCATGTCCATTTCTTCCATGAAAGGGTTTTGAGTTTTAGTTTTTTTTTTTTTTTTGTCAAAAAAGGGTTTTGAGTTTGTCTTCAAAAGGATTAAGAAATCGATACTAGAATTCCGAGATCTTGGAATTGGAATAAGTTCGGCAGCGGATCACCAAATCTTGATCAGAGCAGGCTGGTATATGCAAAACGTGAATACCCCCAAAGCTACGAGTAGGACGTCTAGTAGGGAGATCAAATCTTGAGTGAAATAATTACCACGACTTCTATCTTTTTTCTAACAAAATCATCACGCAGTACATCAACAAAGCTCAAAGTGCATATACTATTCTATTATTTGATTGACCATTCCTTTATATTTGGAATGGGTGGGGAGTCAAGTGTTTTGGCAATTCGTCCCCCTACAGAGGAATCAAGAGCATTTTGAATCATAGTTCTAGATTTTTGTTCATCGTCCCTCGTTGTAATAATATCTCGGGCTTTGCAGCCATACGACAGGTCTCTTTGTATGTGTTGCCCGGAAAGAGGACTCCACGATTATTCGTTCGCCGGAACCAAAAGTCAAAATTTCGGTAGCTAAGCTAGCTAGGTCATTCCCAGAAGACCCAAAAAATTAAAGTGATGATTGATGCTTTTTGGGTAAATACTCCTTTGCTTTGGGCTTTATGGGTGGTGTGAAAAGGTTGAAAGGCTCCACTGGAAGCGATGATGAGGGCCGGAGACATTCATTTGTTTCGATGATCGGCAAGTGATAGCGAAACAATTAGAAAGTGCGTCTGTATCTCTGTATACAAGCGGGTGTGACACATGACATGATTATTTCGTAAAAAGCTTATTGATGAGAAGCAAAGGGAAAAGCAACGAGAAGGATGGAAGTAGAAATGTTTGTTTTAATTTGGCGTTGGATTGGATCCCCAGACAAGGATAGTGGGCTGTTTGGTTTCGGACTGACGACGACGACGACGACGAGCATAAGGTTAAGCAGCAACGATACAACACACAAACGCCAAACCTAGCTACATATCTCCCTATCTCTCTCATGTACTCTTGATGATAATATCTACTACTGTATATTGCTTTTTTTGTTCTGTTCCATTTGAACCCGTATGTCGATATCAAAGCGAGTACAGAAGCCAAGGGGAAGGGAATAAAAATGAAATTATAACCACTTGCATTGACTGCTTGTTATTTTTTTTGGAATAACGGAATCATCGCCATCGCGGGTTTGACTGATCAGTGATCATCATCATCTTTTGTGGGAAGAAGGGTTTGAGTGAAATAATTGCGCCTGAAAATGAACGTCCTTTTGTTCCTTTTGGAGAGCTTGAAACATAACCAAGTGGAAGGAAGGTCAACTGGGTATTTTTATGGACGCTAAGTTTGATACGGCAAGTGCTTATGATTCTATTGTAGAACTTCATACAGGTGGTGTGACTACTTAACTAGTAGATCACGAGACGCGTATTTCTTTCTTTATTAAGATGTGCGTGCGGCCTAGTATATATATGCATCTACCATTCTTGGGTATCTAGCTTATCAAACATTTTAAATAGATCCCTAATTTGCTGGTCGTGACAGCGTTTTGGGTCCCTTTATCCAAGCATTTAGCGCGCACCCAAACAACAAACTTTGCGTACTAACACAAGACCACCGTTGGAGCCCTAATGCAGTGGACGACACACATGTACGAATAGAGATTTTTGCACGAAATATGGGATGTTAGGGAATTAAATCGATTCATTATACTCTCATATTATGTGGCCAAACCCTAGTGATGATCTTTAATTAATTACTAGAAAGGAACATTCGTATTGTTCATTGTATTAATTAGGTTTGTCTTCATGAGCTTGGACCAAATAACCTCAAATCATGTTGATGTACATAGATATGTCCAAACACCAGGAGTAACGTACGTACAACTAATTGCTTTCAAACAGACAACAAACCTCAAATGATCCTGACGGATCGATGTGATGAGGAAGCAATATAAGACATATCGTTGTTACGTGGCTACTGTGGCAAGAAAACTTGGTATATTAGATAGGTGGATCTCGTTTGCCGGTGGCCGATCGTGCACTATTTTAGGACGTGGAAATTTCTAGCAAGTTACTGTACATTCATATATATATATATATTGGGTTATGTGGATTGTCTTTGGCCTTACATTTTCATTCTTATCGTGTTATATTTTGATACAAGAATCGCCTTGAAATTATAATCTTGTGGTTCATAACCATCTTGCTAAATCGCTTGACATGTTAGCGATTCTGTCATAGCTTGCTGAAGAATTTACCGATTTAAACTAAACTTAAGTAGAATCTGAAATATATTAGTACCAGTGTGGTATTTACTCTTCTGAGAATTGTTTTAATAAGTGAAGCAAGCAATCTGGAAAAAAAATTATATAGAAATCCTAAAATTTTCACCGAACAAATAGATAATTTCTTGAAATTCGAGGATGATCATGCACTAATTGTCGATCCCCCCCCCCCCCCCCCACAATACACCATTTCAACAAAAATTCACAAAACACATGAGTTTTTGAGTTAGATCGCTGGAGAGTTGAGCGATCTAGGATGTACATCGTTGAATATTGCTTCCAGGTAACACGATGAAGATCGTCACGAAGAGCGGAAATTTCGAAACAATAATAGACCGCAATCAAATTATTCATTCATTCATTCACACTCAGACATGTGATGGAGAAAAAAAAAAGCGAAGGTACAAAAGCAAACAAATGGAGATGGGAATAATGGGTGCTTTGATAGACAGACGAGTACTGATCAGATTGCAGGCTATTGCGGAATTACCAAACTTCCCCCTCTGCCTTCCTTCCTTCTACTACTACGTACACATACAGATCATATGTAAATCAGTAAATGTCCTTCCTCCAGCTTTCATATCACCACTTGTTTTTTTCTCCTTCTCTTCTACATGTTTCCACACCACATATCATCAACTCCTTGATTTAATTTATTGAAAGAAGCAAAATTCAGTTACCCAAATCTGGAAATAAAAAAAGAAAGCCTGACTGACTGACTCCACCACTCTTGTGAATAACCTCATCTCTCCGATCCCTCACTATCACAAGGAAAGCAAACCACAGCATATACGAATTGACAAAGAGAGAAATCAATTAGGTTTGAATTTTTGCCTGCAAGATTGGCAAGTGATCTCCATGCACGTGGCGGCGGCGGCGGGGGCGGCGGCGGAAGGGGCGGCAGATCGCTCCTTGAGGCGGTGGGCCTTGTCGACCTCCTCCCTGGCACGCTGCCACAGGAGGCGGGCACGTGCGAACTCGGAGTGGGCCAGCTCCATCTCCCTCCGGCTCAGCTCCCTCACCCGCTCCGCGTACGCCTTCTCCAGCGCCGCCACCCGCATCTGCTCCGCCGCCTGCCACCTCAGCGCCTCCACCTGATCCCCAGTGCCTCCACCCGCGGCGGCGGCTCGACTTTGTTTGCTGCTGCTCCCGGCCCCGTGGAAGGGCCGCACGCTGATTGACAGCTGCAGGTCCAGCGACGGAGCTGGGCCCGATCCCAACTGCTGATTCGGATGATCGGAGTCGATCTTCGACGACGACGACGAGGAGGAGGAGGATCGGTACCGGAAGGTGAATGATTCCGACGGCAGGGAAGGAGGAGGAGGAGGAGGGCTTTGAGGGAGGAGCTGGAGCTCCTTTTGGTGGCGGCTTTCTTCCATAGATGGGATGGAACTAATTAATATTTATTTAAGTGAGAGCAGCAGACAATAGAATGGGAAGTTAAGTAGGGGAAAAGAGATATAGGCATAGGGCGGAGAGGATGGAAAGAGAGATACAGACATGTGATGTGAATCCAACCTACGTACGATCGACTACGCCCCCCGTTGAGATTGGAATGTTGAAATGACGGCTTCGACCCTCTACTTTCTCTCACATCCCATGCACTGATCCAGGGATGAGAATGGATCGGGTCGGGACGGGAACGGATAATGCATATTCGTTACTCTACTTAAAGTAGTTCGGGTTTTATCCATGTCTATACTCATATAAGAAACGAGTAGAAAATCCAACCCATGCCCATACCCGTTCGGGTTTCGGGTATTCACGGTTATCCGTGGGTAATAGTTTTTCTTTATAACTCCAATTAATATTTTAATATTTACACGTATTCTCGCTAAGACGAAAAGTACGACAATAATTCACTAGAATGAAGAAAATTAATTAAAACAACACAATTTCATAAAAAAAAATTATATTATATGCTAAATATAAAATATGTTAGAGGAAAATATTGATTATTTCTAAATATATATGCATGCATATAATCGGGCGGGTTCGGGTCCCACCCATTACCCGCAATATTCGGATTTGAGTTTTACCCGTACCCATTAAAAATCCTTCGAGTTCGGGTTTTACTCTACCCGATTAAATCGGATTCGGGCGAATATTCACGATTACGGATATTTTTGTCATCCCCACATCGATCCCGCATCTCCCTAATCTCTAGCTCTCTACTACTACGTTTTTACTAACTGACCTTTATTAACCCCCTACTACTGCATCTAAAGTGTCGGGAACTAGGGCTGGCAGTTTGGACCGGGACCGGATTGAAAACCGGAAACCGGACCGTAAAACCCGGACCGTTTTAAGACCGGGACCGGATTTAAAACAATCCAATCCCGTCTTTGGTCTTAGAATTAGCAAAAAACCCGGACCAATCCAGTCCGGGTCAAAACCGTGTAAAAACCGGAAGACCGGATAATTACAAAACAGATTTAGAGGCCCAGAATAAGCCCAGCCCAGGGACAGGCCAACCCATGGCCTCTCGGCCCACTCACCCCGGCCCAGGCGAGCTTCTGTTCCTGTAGAGTGTAGGGTTGCTGGGTAGAGGACTTCAATCTTCATTTCTATTTTGCTGCCGCCTGCCGCCTCCCTCTCCCTCGAGAGTAAACCCAAATTCTGCCTTCCATCGCGATTCGCGGCATCCCCATCGGAGTCTCGGACCATCGCGCCGTCGACGGAGTCTCGGACCATCGCGACGGCGACGGCGACTAACCTCCTCTCGTTGCTGGTCGCCTCCCTCCTCTCTGCGACGTGACGTCGCGACCCAGCTACAAGCCTCCACTCCGTCCCGTCGCGACCCAGGAAGCCTCTGCCCTCAACTCCGTCCCGTCGCGACCACCTCCGATCAGCTCCACGACGCCGCGCGACCAGCCAGCCAGTATCCCGTCGGCCGTCGCCCTCCATTCCAAAAGACGACCCAGAAAGCTCCAAAAGACGACCCTGCATCTCGTCGCCGTCCGTTCGTCTACAAGCACAGCCGGCAACAGCTGCAAAAGTCAGAAATATGGAAGGGAGCAGCAGCTGGGTAAGTTATTGTTGATTTAACAATCTCATGGGCTAGGTGATGATCAATGATTCAATATACTGTTTGCTGTTGTTGTTTGCTGTTTTTTAGCAAGTAGCAGGGGGGAATTGACGAATTGTACTTGTCTTTCTGTTAAAATGAAAAATGAAATGGATATGGAGGCTGTGATGTAGAAAAAACTACCTATTTTACGAGGAGATTCTTCTCCTGTGATTATAGAACCAATGGGTACTTCTGACCCTCTAGTTCGATTTCATTCATTCCTTTGGTTCTCTTTTTCTCTCTTCCTTCTCTGTTTGAAAAACAAAAAGATTTTGACCTTAAAGGTAGGCAAGGTGGATGTGATGATCACGATTACGTATGTAATGTTTTAGAAATGTCAATAAAATATAATTGAAGTTTATTCTATAATTAGAGAATGTGATGCACTTTATTTTTATTTTGAAGTTTGAATTGGACTTTGAGTTTGTAATAGACATCAATGATGATTGTGAATCTTGTGATTTTGTATTGGACCATATTTGGCTTGATTTTTGCTACAAACAGGTTGTTTACATTCCAGGAAAATGGGTATATGTTGCTGAATTTTTTGCAACATCGTCAAAACGGGTCAAAACATGTCAAAATCGGATTGGGACCGGACTGGGTCAAAACCGGACCGGGTCAAAACCGGACCGGGTCAAAACCGGACTGTACCCAATCCAAGTTTTGGTCCCCATATTTCCAAAAAGACCGGACTGGACCAGATCAATTCGGGCCAATTTAACCGGACCGGACCGTATTGCCACCCCTATCGGGAACGGGATCAGGTTCTAGCTATTAGCTTATTGGTTTGAATTGTATGTTTGGTTATTTGGTTTATTAATTTATTTTGTTTTGTGTCACTTGAATGTTTTTTTTATTAGTGACTTCAAAACGGGACCAGATCAGGTCAGTATCCTTACTATCAGTAACTATCAGTAATCCAATCATGTGTTCCCACGTGTCAGCTTTTTCTTTTTATTTAAATTAAACACGGAGGGGCACTAAAGTAAAAATGTACCCCCTATTTAATGATGTCTCTGACGCGCTGGCGCTGACCAGATCACATCAGCGCCTTCTCTCTCCTCAAACAACCTTTAATTTTTCTTCTCTTAATCTTTAACGGACGATTTCTCATTCGTTTTAAGTCGGAATTTAATTTTTTTTGCACAGTTAGATCAGATTAATTGTGCTCTTCAAAATGATATCCACTTTGATATTTTTCAGACATAAAAAAATTTGTCAGTTATTACCAGTCTATACCATATGGTAATGACTGGTATTGACCATACCATATGGTATGAAAAAATTTGTCACATCAATATATATTACGTTACCACCCAATACCATATGGTATAGTGTGGTAATATCAATATATATTTCGTTACCACCCAATACCATATGGTATAGTGTGGTAATATCAATATATATTTCGTTACCACCCAATACCATATGGTATAGTGTGGTAATATCAATATATAATTTGTTACCGCACAATACCATACATTACCATATGGTATAACGTGGTAATATCAATATATATTTCGTTACCACCGAATACCATATGGTATAGAGTTATAATATCAATATATATTATCTAAAAGAAAAAAAACAGAAGGAGGTAGAGAAAAATCGTCTTGTGTCGCTTCTCATTTCCTCTTCCGCAATCAAGAACACCAAAATGCCGAAAAAATGAGAAAGATCGAAATTGAGGCCAACGAGATGATGAAGAGAAGAAATGCAATGAAAAAGAGTGGCTCCAATTTTTATTCGTCATGTAAAAAAAATAAAGAAGAAGAGAAAGGAGCAGATTTAGAACACCAAAGTGCAGATTGAGAGAGAAAAAGGAAGAGAGAAAGAGAGAAGATCTAGAAAAGAGATTGGGAGAGAAAAAGGAAGAGAGAAGGAAGATAGAAAGTTGCAAAGAAGTGATTTCTCTTTCCCTCATTAAAAGTGCAGCCATTAAATACGAAATAAAATAAAATAAAAAATTTAATATATAAACGGACAAAAATACCCTTCCATACTCAGCGTCCAGCCCAACCACACGATTGCATGCCTCTTAGATCTATGGTTCCTATTCATTACTGACATGTCAGTAACCAAGTGGTTACTGACCCTATCTGTTGCCCTTCAAAACCAATGTTTTTTTATTTTTAATTACTTGGTATCTATTTTTGCTAAGTTTGTTTTAAATGGCCGTCAACAATAATATTTGATCATTAAGTAGCTGACAAATAAATTAAAAACTAATAACAAAATTTTTTTGAAAAAAATTTCACCTCAGCTCAACGATGCCACCTGTGAGAGGATCACATTAGGGGGTGGTCGTCCCGTTTAGTATACCAAATCTAACCGACATATGAATTGATCTAGCTGAACTGAAGTCATTGTCGATTCAAAATTCAAATATCAGGTTACTATAGGTCACAATTCAGTTAAGAATTCACCGAACCGAACAACAGAACTTCCGATCAAAAAATTCCCAATTCTCGAAGCCCTTGACCTAAGTGAGCCTACTCAATAATCGCTAACGATCTAGTAACCCACACCGAAAATGAAATCCCCCCTTCCCCTTCTCCAACCCCGCCGGCCCACACACTAATCCCTAACAAACCCTCCCTTCCCATCCCTAATCCTAACAATACTATATGGAGGTTCTTGGCTGGAACCCCCTTAATCCCTCTTTTCCTGCTCTCTCCGCAATTCACTGGAGGAGATTTTCGTAAATGTATTTGTATAATTATTGACCGAAATGGGCCAGACCCATTATTCTTTTCATTGTAAATTTGGGACTGGAAAAAATTGAACTGTATAATTATTGACCGAAATGGGCCAGACCCATTATTCTTTTCATTGCAAACTTGAGACTGGAGAATTCTTTTGGAAGACATCACCACTTGTGCGGCACAAAGTAGAAGCTAATTATATGAGCACCAATAATTACATGGGGTTAATTCACCACTGTTGTTTTAGCAAATGAAATTAACAAAATAATTTATTTATGATTTATTATAGTACTGTTAGGATAACGTTAAAAATACAAGTTTATTTTGTATTATAAAGTAATTTGTACAAAATGTATAGGTGCAAATTTTACCATAACGTTAAAGATTCTACATTCAGTTTGTATCATAAATGAATTTGCACTGAAAGATATAGGTACAAATTAAATTTGCACTCGTGGGAAAATGTATAGAAACAACTTGAAATTGACTATAACGTTAAAGGTATAAGTTCAATTTGTACCATAATTTTTTTTAAATGAAATAGCCGATGATATGGTGCACCGTAGAATTCATTATATATTTATTAAAATTATTATTAACA